TCAGTGGTAACGAAATTCGAGCATCGTCAAAAGAAAGAGATGATAAACGAGTTCGAGGAGGCGTTTTATTGATTGGTGGAAGAAATAATTCGTTTGATTTTTCCTAAGCAAGAAGCATAGACTTCGGTTTTCGAAAGAATCCAAGTATCAAGTCCGATCATACTCGTGTGAACATAGTTGAAAGTAATTTTCCAATAAAATCATAATGTTTCAAACGTTGACAAAGCGTACGAAGTTTTATCAGTCGTTCTTGATCAAGCACAGTTGATACTATTGGTTCTTCATTTTCTCCTCTGCCGTTCTCGGGTGACAATAGTCGTTTTGCAAGTGCCTCAAGTAATTGAAAGTCTTGTTCGCTAAAATTCGAAAAGATACTCGTTTGATTAAGACGGTGATTCGAGCAATTACCGTTCATAGTTGACAATACTTGTGATGAGCTTGTTAAATATGTGCTTGATTCGATGACGATCTCTGTCATCGAGTATTTGTGACCGATCGAAAAGTCTGAATGTTATCAAAATGATGATAGAGAAGAGGTTCGAAGACAATTCTACTTTGTCCACACTTAAACATCATTAGCTTCGAATTCGGACGAATATTTATTATTGTTTATGGAAGTATGATGTGCATTAGAATCAGGTAACTTGAACATGATTAATCAATTCGAGAAAAATTGAAATGAAGTTTAACATTAAGCATATCGATCAGAGGTGTGCGGAACAGCAATTTTTCATGCCCCGCGGGATCCGACCTGTGACGCTTGCTGACTCGCTCCGCCTGTCCTGCGCAAATTTTTTTCTTGGAATTCCCCGACCCATTCCGTCCCGTGCGTTTTCTAACTCGTCCCGCCCGTCCCGACCCGCCAATTTCTAGACGGGCCCGCTCCGTCCCCGTGAGACCCGAACGAATTTTTTTATTTTTTAGATTAATTGCTTTTTTATAATTTATTATACATAATTGCTCAGTTTATTAAAAAAATATTGGAGACAGTTTATAATTGATTCATTCCATGATAAGCAGCTGCTCGAACGAGTATAATATCACTCACTCTGGGTGAATCGTACACAGTACTATTCGATGAACTTTTATTAGATGCAGGACCAGTCTTTGGCGATGAACAAGATATATCTGATGATGTCATACCATCAAACGATTCACCAGATGATAAATCATGTAGTTCAATCATTGCTATTGATAGGACAAATTTTATTACAGGTGTCAATTGAAGAAAATAACTGATAATTAGTTTTAGTTTCATCTTACAATGGAACCAAACAATAAATATTCAAGCTGAATATTGGTCAGTAATAAAGATACAAGTAACGCTCATCCGTTGGATTCGCTGACCCTTTTCTGAAAGACTTTTTCGAATGCTGAACACATTCAGAGACTTCTAAAGAGAAAAAACGCACTACGATTGCTACTAGTGCTCTACTGAATCATGGCACTATGTCACACACTACAATAAATAGGATGCAAAAGTCTTTTGAGGAATCAGACCGATTAGCCCTTTGTCAGTAGATAATTCTCCAGCACTAACTATATTGACTGAACAATTCATCGCTCAACGACTAGTCAGCCGGCCACTCACGGCCAACCATTGACCTTTGTCATCTGTTTTTCTATTTTCATATCAGAGATCGGCGGGACGGCGGTTTTGTCCCGTCCCATCCCGTCCCGTCCCGCGGCGGGACGGGACGGGACTGAAAAATTAAGATTCTGGCGGGACGGGATGAGACGGGACGGCTAAACGAAGAACGCGGGACGGGACGGGACAAATGATTTTGGCGGCGGGACGGGACGGGATTTTCTTTTTTCGACTGTCCCGCGGCATTCATTTTTAGATGTATTGATTTCACTGGCAGCATAAGAGAACGCAGAACTCTCAAAGGCGACATCTTTTTTAGACTAATTCATGCGACCGATTTCATTCGCTCTTCATCATCTTCAATACATAATCTTCTCTTTAATCCTTTATCTCTATGCAAAACCTACCAATTACTGTTTTACCACTGTCTTTCGAAAAGAAAGGGTGCCATTCTTTGGCTTCATAACAATGTGCTTTCATCAGATGAAAGAAAAGGAATGTTCGAGAACGATCCGACAAGCATATATATATACGTATTTCTTGTGTCCAGTCGATATATATCGACGACGTTATAGCCGATTGTGTGATCAATCTTCGATCTCTTTTCAATTGTTCATCATTTCAATCAATATAGATCTTAAAAGTTCATTCAGTGCAGATCTTCATCATCTTCCCACATTTATCAAAGTAATTACTATTTTGGTTTTGTTGATCATCAGATTTTTTGCAATATCGAGTTAATATTCTGTTTCAGTTATTGAAATGGATAATGATATCATTATGGTGGACAACAGTCAAAATACATCATTCTATGCAGACTCGTATACAAACGCCGAATGCTCGCCATCAGTTTCACCTCGAAACAGCCCGTCAACTCTTTCTCCTTCGCTTTCGAATCACTCAGGTGAATACACATGCAGGAAGATCGAGATGCTAATGAGACAATGTAACGATCGATATATCGTCGTTGATAATAAGAAATCACATTCGTCTAAATGTTGGGAACTGTTTGGTTTTCCTGCACTTGTCGAATCAAAGGATGAACCACCGCAAATCATTGAAAAATTTGTTACATGTCGAAAATGCTTTACGACTTATTCTTTCAATTCCAACAGCACTCGTTTATTGAACAATCACATTTGTCAAAAATCCCATCGTATTCGTTCTTCGTCTGCTTCCTTACCATTTGGATCATCGTCGAATTACCACCAAACGAGTCTTACATCCTATGGAAGCGCCAACTTGATCAAATTTAACGATGCACAAGTAAAACGAATGAAAGATCTCCAAGCCCAATGGATCTGCAAAGACATACGATCATTTACAATTATTGAAGATGACGGTTTTCGTCAAATAGCACAGGAATTAGTTTCATTAGGTATGTATTTGGTTTATCGGAGAATAATTGAAAGATTTGAGCCAAAGTCTCTTTTCGAGAGAGAGATTTTTAATCAAATTCTAGATTAGTAAATTTGATGATGTTTGACGAATCTAATTGGGCCGAAAAATTGTGTGATTGCCGCTCTATTCAAATAAAAATCTATTTTTCTGTTTCAGTGTTTTCTACTAAGAGTTTTAATTTATATTCTTTATCTTTAGGAGCCAAACATGGAAATTTTAATGTAACAGGAGTTTTGCGAAGCGCAAAAGTTATTGGTTCGCATATTCATGATGTTTCTCGCTCATACAGAGAAATTCTTCGAGAAAAATTAGCCGAACCTCTTGCAAATCAAGCATTAGTCGTGTGTCCAGATTTATGGACAGATGCCATTCGTCAAATTTCATACATGGGTATATCGGCATCGTTCATCACTTCGGATTTGGACCTTCATTCGATTGATCTATGTTGTTCACCATTTCGAGAACCAAATAAAGCTGCTGAATCAATCCTTATCGTGAGCATCTTTTCACTCATCTTTTTACATCAACCTTTGTCATTTAGGCTTTACGTCATGCTCTTACCCCATTCGGTCTCGATAATCTTCAACTATTAACGTTTGTCAGTGACCGCGGATCTAATTTCGTGAAAGCACTGAAACCGTTTCGATATTTCTTTTGCTTTGCACACCGCCTCAACAATATATTAAAGCGGGCTTTTTTTCACAACATATTGAAGAAGAAGAAGAAGACGACAACAACGAGTTCAAATAGTTCGAACGAAACCAATGCGATTATCCTGGAAGAAGAGAGCGACAATGAAAGCGGCAACACCGACGACGAAGACGAACCATGCTATTCTTCTGCAACAATCAATGAAATGTCCGAAAGTGCACTAGCCGTTTTGAAAACAATTAGTGAATGTAAAAGACTAGTGAGATACGTGAAAAAGGTAGTCGAGTTTTTTTTTTAATGAATGGCTAATTTTCTTTGTTTTCAGTCTGGTTTGAATCAGAAGTTGAAGGATCTCGGTGGCCATGCTCTCAAGCAGTCAACAGACGTTCGTTGGTTATCGCTCATTGAACTTCTCGAGTCTGTCGAAAAATCATCGAGTGTCATTGGAAAGATATTACCTGGAAAGAAAAGATTTAACATTAACATTGACATTGTCCGTTCGCTAATTCGTCTTCTGCGACCATTCAAATTTGTCATTCAAATCATTCAGAAAAGCACTGAACCATCATTTCACCATGTTCTCATATCTACACTTACTCTTCGCGCCGCTCTAGAATCTATGTCATCTCTAATTGCATATGAGAAATCTTATTATGACCATAACGATGGCGTCGATACCCATGATGAAGATGATTACGAATCTGATGGTGAGTGCACTTTAGTTTGTCACGATAAATCCATGTCTCTCAATATTACATTTCGTAGGTATGCTATTTTTTCGTACGCGAATCAATTATCTACTTGAGACAATGATTGATCTCAAGGTAGAGCATTTTGCCGCTGCAATGTTACATCCTCGTTATAGGCATTTGAAGAAATGTTCTATTGATGAGATCAAAAGATGTAAAAGATATATTTCAAAAGAAATGTCTTCAATTGCACAAATTGTGAAAAACGAACCTTCGACTTCTTTCGCATCTCCAACGGATCCAAAATTACCGCCGAGAAAAAAGCAAAAGCGCTTTGGTCATCAGTTTGAATCAGGGAATGTATCTGATGAGTATGACGATCGAGAAGAAGAAGAAGAACTTGATCGCTATCTTTCAATTCGTCTTGATCTCGACAAAATCGAGGACAATCCATTGGTATTTTGGAAGCAGTATGGTAAAACGTTTCCAATTCTCTCGATTCTTGCTCGTCGTCTTCACTCCATACCTGCAACAACAGCTTCAGTTGAACGTAGTTTTAGTGGTGGCGGTCAAGTGGTAACAAAACGTCGAGCCAATCTCTCTCCATCTCAAGTTGACAATATATTATTTGTTCGATCGATGCTGAACAGTCGTCTTTTCGCCAACACGAAATAAACTTTATTCATTGTCTTTTTTTAATTATGGAAACTTTTCGATAAGAATAAATAGTAAAATATTATTTTAATAACACTGGTATAGAAAAGAAGCAATGTTTGTATGGTTATTGTAAAAAAATAACGTAATGGAAAGATTTTAGAGCAGACGGGACGGACGGGACGGGACGGGACGAGAGCTTCATCGAAATGGCGGGACGGGACGGGACGATCGAACGGAACGCGGGACACGGGACGGGACGGGACACTAAAAAATTATTTGGCGGGATGCGGGGCGGGACGGGATAATTTTTTTCAAGACGGGACGGGACGGGACAAAAAAATCGTCGTCCCGCCGATCTCTGTTTCATATCACGCGCATGGAAATTTTCATAAATGCTTTACTAACTCACTCATAGACGGATGATACACAGGAGACTACTTGAACAGTTTGAGCATTCGCCTGTGTCTTCCAGCGATGATCCGACTGTTTTCTCTCGTGTCAACAAAATGATACCTTGTCGAATATTTTCATTGAGGAACATCCATTCGTAAAATCCCTTTCAAAATTATCTGACGCCTGGCAAGGTTATTCTAAGCGTACACTTTAGGATTAATCTAGCATTTAAACGCCTAGTCGTTCGTCGACCTCCCTCCGGTCGGTCACTCACGGCTAGCCGTTGCCATGCTGTCTCTGTTATTCCTTTCGCCTTCGCTCGACTTTCAAACTGAATGATTGGGCTTTCTTTCATTGTCGCTTCTACAGTCATGATCTTCTATTCATTCGACTACCAAAAGAACCTAGATAAGAAAGTCTTATTATATGATTTGCTTCGAAGCGAACATCTTTCATCGTGCTGCATGTGTTCAGAATAGTGTTTCTACAGTCCACGCGTCTGTAGTTACTAAGATGGAATTTCACCGACGGGTATATCGCTTTGCGAACTATTTCTACTGAATTCCCATGAAAGGGCATGATCTATGTAGCCTACAAAGCAAAGATGATACTAAGCTCATATCACTTTTTCGGGTTTTTTGAATTAGAAACATCATTATGTACAATGCATTAGATCTTTTCGTGTAAGTTCTTCAGCTACTATCTTCGTACGCATGACGTTCGTGAATAACATTCAACTCACCATCTTCTACAAAAGATTTCAGAACAGATAAAGAAAAATATCTCCTTTGTAAAGAGGCAGGAACAAGCCCAGACTCAGCGAATAAAACGAAACTCACCCTCAAATTCGAATTTCTCGACGTCAGAAATCCTTCGGTCTACTCTGAAAATGAATGTTAATGAGTCGTGATTAGTTAATGAAAAACTAATAATTAATTAAGCAACACTAACGTCGGATTCGTGATCCTCGATCCCGATTACCCTTCGGTCGACCCTTACTCGACAACAACAAAATTTTTCATTTCCTAATTAGTAATTAGCTAATTAGCTGGTTGAAATTTCGAGAAACTAACACCGGATTCGAGCTCCTCGACCTCGATTAACCTACTAGTAGTCAGTTTCTGGTTGCTATAGGTAAATTTCATTGATTTAAGAAATGCTGATTTCTGATTGGATAGGACAGACAAACTTTAAGCTTTTCGAGCCCAGGATTTAACTGCTGTATAACCTTTTCTTTCAGAAAAGGGAAAAAGGGCTCTATGGTGCCCTGCATTCTGAGATGCTCTTTCTAACAAAAAAAAGAAGTCTGGCATGCTTCTGGACCGAGAAATCTTGGAAATAAAATGACCTACTTTTTAGCCTTGTCTGCTTCATATGTCTAGAAAACAAGGTGATATCGAGCTGAAATTTTTACCACAGACTCTCCTCTTCAGCCCTAACATATGCTCCAAATTTCAGCTCATTTGAACTTTCCTAAGCCGAGTTCGATTTTTGAGGGGGGGGGGGGGGGGGGGCTTAATCAATAATCTGAGAAGATTTACATCGGAATAAGTTAATTTCATTCTTGTCACTAATTTACGTGATATATTTACAAATATAGATTTAACAAAAATTCATTAGCACAGCATGATATCATCTTAAATATCTGTTTATATCTTTTTATGTGATGAACGTATGTCTTTTTTTTCTTTCTGTAACTCTCCTTGATTGTTTATATAACAAGTCTTCTCTTCTTTGTCATCCATTCTCTGATTCATCACAGCATGTACCATCTATTCCTTAAGCTTATTATGTCTTAATTAACTTTTCTTTCTTTCTTTCTTTTCTTTTCTCTCCTGTCTCTTATCTTCTCCCTCTCTTCCACGGTTCCCGATTAGGGGGAAGGGAGTCTAGCCCCTTCCAAAATAAAGTTGTTTCTGCCAAATTTTTTAATGCTTATGACACTCGCAACTTTCGATCATAGTGCAAATGTATCAAATTATACTGAAATTACACTTTTTTGCCGTAAATTAACACTGACTATGTTAAATTCTAATTAAATAGAGTATTTATAAGAAAGTCTATAACTTTTCTTTCCTATTTCTTCCAAAATCTCTATAGTTTTCCTCGTTATGTCTGGCAGAAAGTCTATGACTTTTCTTTACCATCTCTTTCAAAAAGTTATTTATACTTGCTCTGTCCACATGACGTCATGTAATCATATGTTCATCCATAACAACATGTAAAACATATGAACGTACTAATCGTCCTTTATTGAATTTAAAATCTTTAAAAGACGATGTGTATGCATTTTCAAAAATCGTTGAAGGTATTAAAACAATTCCAGCAATTCTATTACAGTTAGCAGAATTTGGTAGTGAACAATGTCCTGAATGGTTTCGATTCTATCAGATATTGGGAACATTTGCAATTGGTTCAAATGAAGCAGAAAGAACATTCAGCACATTACGAAATCGATTATCTGATACTACTATTGAAATATTAGTAAAATTATCTAGTCTTAAGATAGAATTAACAGAATATATTATTAATTGTATTGTACAAGATTTCGTGAAAAATCCTGGTCGTACGAAGTCGCACAACATAACGTTGTTTTTGAAGGATGATCAATATCAAAGTGATGGAGACGATGATGTTGGATATTTTTGAGAAATATCTGAAGCGTTTGAGTCGTTTATAAACTTTCTTTCTATTTTGTGTTACACATTAACTTTCATATAGCCATTGACGTTTTCATTTGTAGTTTTTCTCCTTTTTTTTAAATGACGCTTCACTTAGATATTATCATTTGAAATAAGAGTCTATCGTTATTATTAACCAATATTGACAGAAAGACTTTCTCGCAAAATTTAGCCCCCACCACTTTCAAAAGTAATCGGGAACCGTGATTCTTTCAATGGCGCATCTTATGAAAAGAAAACTGATATTCTATCATTTTTAGAAGCTAGGATATCTTGAAAACAAAAATCAGATACAGCATAAAAATTGGCCCATCAATTATGCATTTTTTGGTTTCGTGAATGGGGAGGTCACTAGAATCCGATATTAGGGATTCATTAGCGCAGCCACGAGAGTACTTTTCATGGTGCAACTTTTAAAAAAAAAGAACTAGGTGTATATGATTTTCCAATATCAAAATATATAAAAAATTGTGAAAAATTTGCGAACAATTTTGTTGTGCTGGGACATTGCAGTACTATGTGTGTAGTTAAAAATGACTACGGGGAAATTATTCGAGCCAATCAATAACGATTCTTTTATGCATTTTTTGTGCAGCTTTTCCTGCTGTATCTTTAAAAAAAAAATCAAGAATTTATCATTTTCTTAAATCGAGATATCAACAAAATATAGAATGTTGCAAAACTTTTGCCTCATCCAGTAATAGCTATAGACTAAACAACAACTAGTAATTTTCAAACAAGACTTTTATCTTGAATCAATCCCTTGTTCACTAGATACGGCACATTTAGTTCAATATGCAAAATACAATTGATTCCAAATTTACCTGACGAGTCCCTTAAGCAAGGATGAACCGGGTCGTAAATACCTTGGAATCTTCCTTTTTCGAACCCACACCCTCAGTATAATATGCCCTTATTTTCCCTTTATTAAGTATTCAAAAACGAGTTTTCCATTTATTGTCTTTCTCACATACGGAAAATAAGGGTGTACAATAAGTTGAAAATTCATAAACCCTTGTGCAATAAATTAAGCAGTCAGAAACGATTTTTCCGTCGGTGACTCTTCAGACTTCTTTTTCAGTGCAGTAGGTTGACTTTGGATTGGCCTAAAATCAAGCAAAGAAATATCTTCCTCCACGAATTATCATGCTTTTGAGTCGTTTACTCACCCTTCAGCAATAACTTCATCGTTTCCCGTCCGAAAACAATTGCATGGAATTCCGCAGACACAACAACCGTTAGGTCCCCATCTCCAGCAGATCTACAACATACAGAAAATACAAAGCATGATTACTAACAGTAGATGGTGTATATTAGCGCAAGAAATACTCACTGGTATACATATAAACATTATAAAATAGTTGTTCGATCAGCTAATATGATACGGGTTAATTACTTTCTGTAAAAATAAACATTCTTTCTTTGCAAATCAACGATTTATATATACTGTCGTGTCATACACGCACACATATATGTTAACGCCCATACACGGATTTAGGCCAATCAGACAATGGAGCCTCGTCTATTGTCAGCTAGAAAGGATGATAGTTTCTTGGCCATTTTATCACTTTCAATGCGAAACTAATAACCTGAAAATATTAGTAACTGATGACTTCCGTAGTGTGAGTTGTGCATGCTACAAGTTACGTAAAATACACATATAAGGAGAGGTCAAGAGAGGTTTTCGCTACTATTGAACTGATAAAATATGGTGCTGTTTGGGCCAGCACAGGATTATGCAGGATGCTCTTTTATATGGTCTGAATAACTGCATGTTTCGCTCTTGCAATAGTGGACCCATTTTTTGTGGTTAACAAATAACATTGTTTTATGTGACCTGCATGAAGATAAGACACTTCACTATTACAACGACAGAACATAATGTAATTCGAACTGATTTCGGGTTTCCAAGGGTGCACTCTCATATAGACTTAATAAAGCTGTGCTTCATCGTTGTAGTAATTAAGTGTCTTATCTTTATGCAAATCACATAAAACGATGTTATTTGTTAGCCAAAAAAAATGAGTCCACTATTGCAAGAGCGAAACAAGAAGTTGTTCGAGCCATATAAAAGAGCATCCTGCATAATCCTGTGTTAACCCAGAAAACACCGTGTTTTGCCCTTTCATTAGTAGCGAAAACCTCTTTTGACCTCTCCTTATACGTGTATTTTACATAACTTGTAGCATGCATAATTCCGGCTATAGAAGTGATCATTAGCTAATATTTTCAGGTTGGTAGTTTGGCATTGAGACTGATAAAATGGCCGAGAAACTACCGTCATGTCTAACTGGAAGTGGACGAGGTTCTATTATGAGGGTAAAAATTGAGAAAACGTATAGCTGTTGGATACTTCTTCGTGGGAATTTGTATACATAAGAGTCTTATCCGTGTGACGATATCCTTAAGTACGGTCGAAACGAGTCATTGTTTGCTTCATTCACTGCTTCGTTTACTTCGCCTTTGCGAGTGGTATAAGAAACAGTAAATAATGATAAACGAGAGAAGAATGAGTAATGAAGATTGAGAATGAAAAAACGAGAAGATATTACGTTTTTTTGCTAACAAATAATAACACACATTGTTATCGCTTATGCAAAAAAAAAACTCAAAAGCAGTCGAAAGAGATAGGTGACGATGGATACAACTGTAGAAATCTGAGACTAAGGTAGTCACATAAACCATCGTGAGGATGTGGGGTGGGTGTAAATCTCTTCTTCTTCTTTAACATGTACATTCACACCGAGACATAATTACGATCCAGACACATTTAGAATTCGTTCGGACAGAATTGAAAATCTACTTTGGTCCGCACAAAATTAGAATCTCGTATTTGACCAGGTTCTTCTGAAGCAGAATGACAATTCCATTTTCTGCCGGACAAAATTACAATGCCAATTTTGTTCGAACCAATTTGAAATCCGTCAGGATAGACTTCATATACCAGTTTCGTCCGGGGGAAATCAGAATTCCACTTTACGCCAGCGAATTTTCTAGACAGAATTTTGGATCTCATTTTCATCCCGACAGAAATTCAATGAGAAATGGGTAGTATCTTGAGGATGAAAGTCTGGATGTGTGTCTAGGCTTAGACGCCGGCCAAGGCAAGATCCATACGCCTCACCCACCCTCACCCACCCTCGCCCACACCCTCACCCTCACCCTCAAGATGCTCTAGAGTATAAACTCCAATTGGATAATCAGAAGTTGTTAACATCGACATTAAACGCATGGCACCTTGAAATTCTGGTATACATTCTTAAGTAATACCATGTGCTTTTAACCAGAAATCAATGGGAATAAAACGAGCGGTGCGTAATACGAACATGTCAGGGTGTACCTCAGTTAGTTTACATTTCTCCGATGGAAATTGATACGATTCTAGAAGTACCTGAACAAATGAATTAATTTGTTGTTTGTATCTGAATGAGACTATGAAGAAGAGAAAAGATTTTTCTGAAAAAATTTACTTTGGATGAATATAAAATCAGAGAAAACAATAAGCAAAAACATAACTAAAGTGCATGAAGATGATTTTGAATGTTTAATGACATGTTGTTCGATAAATGTGCAAAGGATTTGATGAGTGGATCGGTAAAATGATGAATGTGTGAGTTGTCATTCTTCAGATAGGTTATACAAGGTTCAAGAATCTCTTGAAGAAATTCTTCGATTGATGATAATCTAAACATTTAAATAAGCTCAGAGAAATGTCATTTCCAAGGAGATATTTACGTTCGATCTCGAAAAAGAAGTTTTAATTCAAGATTTATCACGGTTGATTGACTTAGATTCATTCGAGCATGGAATTTGTCCAGATTTAATTGAAAGATTCCACCGTATATTGAATCATGATGAGATATATCCTTCACAGGATGATCACACTCGATGACCATTTTCAAAGTACCATTTTGGCGAGTCCTGATCGATCGAAGTTCTTTATAGAGATAGTCTCTATTAAAAAACCACGAATACAACTGTGTTAAATCAAATTCGAATAATGGAAGGAAATATTAGCCACATACATACTATTTGTTTCAATGTGGTAGTAACCAAATCAATAAGTGATTAAAATGAAATAGAACATATTTTCGAGAAATGATGCAAGTCATAAATCAATACGTCGATGACTATTGATGTTTTAATAAAAGACTAAAAGAAGTTTTTTTTATTTCCAGTGTCAGGACTTCGACTTTTAGACGTTTCTCAATCTAAACTATGTCATTAAAAATAATAACTTATCGTATTGGTACAAGTATTCTATATGACTCACGAATTTGATACTCGTTTCCTTCACTCTGTTGGCCTTTTTAAAAGGACTTAATCTATCACTTCGTACGATCTGTCATCTGTACAAACATATGTACATATGAAATTGACGCCTATTTCTTTTTTGAAAACTTCGTTTTACTTCTCTCAGTACAATCAATAGTGAAATACGTCTGTTTTATGTGTATTTTGTATTCGAGCAGAAGTCATAATTAATTTTGGAAAACTGAAGAGCTTAGTTCGGTCTCGATATTTTAATCTCGTGAATGAATTCTTTTTTCTGACGTTCCATTCGTGAGATCGTATCGTTGAAAAATGACCAATTTAGATCGGTATGGATGATAGAAATAAATCAATGAAGAAAGAAAGTAAAAGAACTCGTGACGAGTTACTAAAGAGTGCTTTCGCATCTAAGAGAAAGGCTTCCATCAAACCATAGAAATGCTATGGGCAAGTACTTCCGCGCCGGATTAAACATAAATCAAATTAGATCAGAACAAAACTAAACAAGGTATCAAGAGATAACATTATTTCATTGAATTTATTGTTTTATTTTAGTTAACCTCCATTTCATTATCATTATACAAACTGTTACAAACTTCTCAAAATGTAAGTGGTGTTTGATCGTCATTTGGCAAACGTTGATTTTGATCTTGATCAATATTTTCAACGTATATATCCATCATGTGGTAAAATATCAACTCGTTTGGAAGATTGATACTGGTATTTTATTTTGTCCATGAGAATTGATGAGATTGATCTAAACTTTTCAATAATGCTTTGCGTTATGTTATCATGAGCTTTTGTTTCGACACATCCAGATTGTATCTTTTTCATTGGTCGAACAATAAACTTATCTAAGGACTAGCTCTCTATGAACACTGGTATTCAATAGTACTTATAATATGTCGTTGTTTGAAAATATCAATTGTATATGTAAGTGAAGTTGTCCGGCGATTCGAATTTTCAAAAATACGATTCGTTCTACTTGGTTGCCACCTATTCTTTGTTGTGTGCCAAATAGAACTCAACGAGCTCTACCGAATGGTGTCTATGTTTGCGTTGGCACACATTGATAGATGAGCTTATGAGACGAATTTTCTATGCAAATTCTGAATAGTAAAAATGCCTTACACCGTGTTGGAAGCGATGAGTGAGCAGATATACCTGGTGAGGATGGATTCGCAAGAAGGACTATTTGAAAAGCGTTCGATGACAGCTGGATGAGCATGAACACGTGTTTAAGCGAGTAGGTGTGTTTTCTCATGGATGTTTCAAAGAGTATACTGTAAGATGTAGTGCGTTTCGCATGTACGAATTGTAGAAGATTTTCTGCAGCTCGATGGCAATTATGGATGAAATATGGCGATGAATATGAATTCAACTGACGGAAGTATGTGACATTTGAACGGCTTCCAAAATTTGTACTGACTGTACATGTATGTGTACATGGTAAACCGAGTCATTAATATTGCAAGTTGCAACATCTGTGTACAAGTACTAAGACATGAGTTGCCTAATTCGACGTATATTAGAAATGGACAACGAACAGCCTAATATAAATTCCAATATGAATGGACACCCACACACCCACACCCTCAAGATCAAAACAGTCAAATTAAGTGCACTTTTTCTTTTAATTTTTATTACGAAATAATCACATATTGTCAAGTGTAAAAAACACGATACTCATTAGACATTTCTTCGAACATGTTGTTTCTATGATTTAAATATAAATATAAATTAATGAGACATAGAAAAACCTTGATGAAAATTAAGAAAATGACGAATTGTTATCTTTTGTTCTGCACTCTAAACCCGAATGATAAGAATAGCTTTGTCATTTACGAAAAAAAATGAAACAATTTTCAATGGCACAAAAGATAAATTTATCTCTAATAAACTTAATCAAATATTTTGACATTTAATAAATAAAGATTCCAAATAAGATTTATACAATTTCTTTTGGTATGCAAAATGAAAAGAAAAGAAAGGTTGAATTTGTCGTCTGTACAAGTTTCTTTTCGTATTAGTTCTTCATATTACAATCTGTTGCCCTTTTCTTTATCTGTTTTTCTTTTTGACATTGTTTTTATATTTTTTTTCTCGTATTCATCACTGATCAATGATTCAGTTTGGAGATTAACTTCAAACAAATACAAAAAAAGAGAAGAAAAGAAAATAGAAATTCTATAAAGTCTTGTTATTATGATCGAAAATAGAGATGTGTAACACAGTTTTATTTTTGTTCTCTGTCATAAGAGAAAGAGTAGAAATATTAGAAGTTGTTGTTTTTTTCATTCTTTCATCATTAAGTTTTTTCTTGCTTTCTTTCTAAAGAAAGCGCAGAGAAAGAAAAACGGTTTTTTACACATTAAATGACTAAGATTCTGCCGTCTGCACATGTCAATTAGGTTCGTTTATATTCAGGTAGCAATAGCAGAAGACGCAGTCGCAGTCGCAGCAGCAGGTGTCCTTGAAACCGCCAGTAAACGATAGTCGAATAGCAAAAAACTTTGACAAACAATATTTGTTGTTCTGATAGACGCGCACTAACATTACCGTCAAATCTTTCGATCAACATTGTAAAAA